AACAGATTTTATCAAAAGAGGTTTTAAGTGGATAGTAGGTAATGGAAAACACATTAAGTTTTGGTGGGATATTTGGTTGGAAGAAATTCCACTGCGAGAGTTGTTCCCTAGACCTTTTAGAATTAGTAGCCTGAAAAGAGGATTCATTTGTGAATGTGGCAATTTTGTGAATGGGGTTAGGAGATGGAACTTACAATGGATTAAGGAGATGAAGTCTTTTGAACTTGAATCATGGAACAACTTGAAGAACGCATAAATTCCATTTCCGTTTTTCCTAGCGAAGATGACAAGTTGGCTTGGATCTTTGATAAAAATGGACTTTTTTTCAGTAAAAAATGTATACTACTTAATGGAAGATGCTAATTTAGGAGTTCAAAAACCAAATTTTAATTTCAAGTCGTAGGATTAATGGCATTCCTCCAAAAATAGCTCTTTTTGTTTGGAAAGTTTTTCTTGATAGGATCCCAACCAAAGGAAATTTATTCAAGATGAGCTGTTTTGTTAATTTGGAGGAGTGTGTATGTCCTTATATAAAGTTTCGATAGAATCAACCAATCACCTTCTTCTTCATTGTTCTTTTGCTAACAAAATCTAGAATTATGTATTTCGTTGGTGGGATGTGGTAACTATGATTTTGAGATCTATTATAGATTTGAGATGGCAATAAAATGAATTACTAAACACTAAAGGCATTAAATTCGCTTGGATCATTATTTACTTCTTATTTACTTCTCAGATGAATAATTTCAAGTTGAGAGCATTTTTTAGTAGCTTCGAAATTATGAAGATGAAATATCCTTCTCTCCCTTTCTGTTTAAGTGATTGGTATATGTTTTCTCTTATGGTGTCAAGTTTTAAGCCTCCTCAGGCACCATTGTCATATCGTTCAAATCATTGGGTTAATCCAGTTGTACGTTCATTGAAGTTTAGTTTACATGGTTCACCTTTGGGGAAACTTAGGCCAGTAGGCATTGGTGGAGTTCTAAGAAACTCTCAAAGATATGTGCTATGTGTGTTTTATGAATCAATTAGTGTGGAGGAGTCAAATACAACTGAGTTTTTTGCATTGTTAAAAGCAGTAGAAATTTTCGCAAGTTCAGAATTTCAAAATTATCCTTGAGACTGATTCTAAGGTAGTTTTAGTTGGATAACTCAACCTGACAATCGTCCATGGAGATGATGGAATAAGTTCAATAGGTTTAGTTCTCTTCTTACATCTCTAATTTCTTTTTGTTTTAAGCATGTGAACAGAGAAAAAAAAAAAACTTTGCAAAAGATCTGGCCAAGAAAGGAGTAATCCCCTCAGAAAATTTTGTCGCTCGGATATGGATTAATAGAAGATGTCAGCAATGTAGCTATGTTCTTTGAGTTTTTTTTTTTTAATTTTTTTTTAATTTTTTTTTTCTTTTTTAATAAATGATTTTGGGTGATATCATGTTACTTGATTTGTTGAGATTTGGCGAATAGAGATATATCATGTGAGGAACAATGCGTGTTTCAAGTTATTGTTAGAGTTACTATATCTGGTTCTGTTTATTTACTACAAAAACATTATTAGGAGTGTTATTGCTTCTTCTCTCAAGAATATTTACCTCTAGTATTATTCTTTGTATTGATGTATTTCAGTCCAGATTTTTTTTTAACTTAACATTCTTGGCCTAGGATTGGGTGTTTCGAAAAAGCTATTGACTTGGGTTTAGTTTTCCTGAGGTTTGTTTAAGTTTTTTTCTAGTAATTTTAATTAATAAAATTAAAAATTTTGTTGATAAAAAAAAATAGATATTTACCCAATCTCAGACTTAAATAAAATTCTTTTTAAAAAATGTAGTTTACATTAAATAATAATAAAATAATTACAAGATTTATAATTGATTTAGTGTTGAATTTAGCATAAATTAATTGATTTTAGATAAAATGAGTTCAATATTTTATAAGTCTGTGTTACCTATGCTCATGAATTTTAAAATGATATCAGAACTTTGTACCTAAACACACTGAATTCAGTAATTCATATTCTAACCCTTTGTAGGACTGAAACTACAGAAGATAAGCGCATTGGATCATGTCTGAGCAAGTGGAACAACACTTGTTTATGTTAATCCAAGTTGAGTCCCACATTGAAATATTATAAAGTAATTAAAATACTTAAATTATATCCCACAATGAAATTAATTTAAAATAATCAAAAATACTTATCAGACTCAAAATTTAAATATTAATTTTTTTTTCAAAAAATAAATTTTAAATATCAATGAATGACCCACTAAGGACAATTCTCACTAATGAGTGTAGATTATTGACTCATATACCAACCTGCTCCTTTAATTTTTTAGCACTTACCAACTTAAACATCAAAGTGACTGTATGCTTTTTTGAAAAGGAGCGGATGGAAAAAGATGCAGAAAAATTATGAGAAGTTGTCATTTTTCTTTTTGTTGTTATTTTTCACCATTGTCTTTAGACATACAGAGACAATAATGAATGGAAGAAAATAAAATTATTTCTTTTATATGAAAAGAGTAAAATTAAAAATAAAGAAAAGGAAATATCATTATTGAAAATTGATAATTATGCACTCACTCATTTTTAAATAATAAAATGTGACTCCAATTATTTTGAGATATTTGAATAATTTTATAAAAACAAGTGATAATTCTTACTTTTCTCTATTATTTTCTCTTAAATTGAAGAGATTCAAAATATATAGGCTCGAATAAAAAATAAATGAAATATTATTTTTTTCGATACTTTTCTATCCTTTTTCAAATAAGAAAAAGTATATATGGTTAAATATTTTCCATGGTTATTTTTCTTCAAAAGAGTTATTCCATCCAAACAAACAAACATGTAATCTCTTCTCTAGATTCTTGATTAAAATGTCAAACATACAAGCTGCTGATAGGTGTCATGCCAGGTCGAGTGGTCAACATTTGACTTGTATGCTGTCCGCATATATTAAGATATCTCTCTAGAAGCTGTTCAGTTGACCATTTAACACCGACTGTATGTACCTAGTATGCATAACCTACATTGTTGACAAAAACCATTTTATGACATTAACAGTGAAACAGACAAATTAATTTGTCATGCAATTACAAAACTAATTAATTCTATCATATAAAAAAGTCTTTATGCTCAGGAAAAATCTTTATTTTATGAAAAAATGCTTTGTGATAAAATTGAAGCAATTAAAATTTATTTTTCAAAAAAAGCAATTAAAATTTAAAATTAATTAATTAGTTTTAATAAATATTATTCATATGAGTAATGATTGCAATCCAGCGTAAAGATTGGGATACCCTATTTAGTCAGAAGTCCATAGTATTAAGTTTGGCATAAATATTCATTTTATCAAATATGAATTATATTATTAAATTATTATTAACATAAAGGCAAGTTTATCCACTATATTAAGCGAAAAAAAAAAATATATATATATAATGAGAGTTAGGCTATGCGACATAAGTAGCTTTCCCTTTGAGTAACTTTAAACAAATTGATTATAGTAATATATATTTTGGCTGCAAGCTTTATCTTATTAAATATTTTAATGATATCATGTAGAGCATTTTATATATAGGTAGACTCGGGTTTATTAGGCAATATTAACTTTGCTCTCTTCTAATTGGATATAATTGGTAGTGGTCATCTACCTTACCCATTAATCGCTGCCCACTTTGGAAAGTTTCTTTCTGACTCTTCAAAAGTTGCCAAATTCAAATAAGAAGTTCATTCTCCGAAAACCTGATCTTGATTAAGTTTTTAAAATTTGTTACTACTTTCTCTATAAAATTGTAAATAGGAGATATTGGAAAAACAATTTATTAACTATTAACAAATCTAATAAATACCATTTGTTTGAATTATTATAATTAATAAGTTTCAATTTTAACCAATGAGTAATCCGATAATCCGATAAGTGAGATTTAATTATATCTTTAGTCCAACTTAAACTGCAATTTTCAAGATTTAAAATATGAAGTTATCATTTGTTGAAAGTGTTTTTTACTTGAATATTACTTTTAAAGTGAGTTGGGATTAACCTTATACTACCCTCTCTTCCATCATATTTGTCATATTTGAAATTTTACGTTCTTTAAGAAAACATTAAATTTGTCTAAATTATAATAAATTGTTGGGTAAATTGATTATATTACTCTTAATTTATCTAATCTTCTAAGAAAACCATTAAATTGAAGTAATAATTATTGGTCATATACAAAGGGTAAATATGAAAAAAAAAGAATTTATTACTCTTTAAAATCACAAATGTGACAAGTATTACTATTTTCTCAAATGTAACAAGTATTATAGAATGGAGGTGGTACATATAAGTGAATCCTGAAAGGAGGACTAAAACTTGGCAAAATTCAGGTTTCAGTCTTTGACATTTAAACTTGTCAAAATTCAGATTCCAGTCTTTGACATTAAAACTTGTCAAAATGTTAACAATGTCCTTAACCTCGTGAAACTAAATTGCTTGAAAAAAACACTAAATAATAAGCTGATATTAATTGAAATTATATGATGTAAATCTCTGGATTACTAAAACATTAGTCTTAAATCATTTACAATTGTATCAATACCTCATTAAATTTCATATACATACTGTTTAAAGAAAGGATTAAACAGTAATACTATTACATTTATAGGATCAAAAATATTTTACAAGCAGCGTTAGAGCTACGATTCAATGCTAGAAAGGTTAAAAAAAAATTATAAAATGAAAAATCTTTTGAGCTAAGGGACGGGATTAGAGAATATTCAATGATAAAAATAATGCTTTTCAATTAAATAGTTTCGTGAAGCTAATGTAATGTGTATTTATTAAAAAAGGAATCAGGAACAAGACTTGCGTGTATATTTGGTGTATATCCCAAGCTAATCGGGATAATATGATTTTGAGTTCTGTGACTAAAAAAAACAAGAAGATGTCAACGTAATGAAAATTCTCATTATAATTAGTCAATGCCCATATTTCTATATATACTAGTGAATCTACGTTCGAACCCATCAACTTATCCCTTCCTAAATAAAAATGTCATTCTCAAAATTCACCTCTTTTATCTATCTCTTAACCTTTCCTCTCCTTCACCAGACCATTCTTGCCACTGATCCACTCTTCCATTTCTGTTCAAGCTCTGAAAACTTCACTACCAACGGCCCTTATGAGTCCAACCTAAACAAGATCATCGGCAATCTCTACATTCAAACCCCACAAACAGGCTTTGGTTTCGGTTCATCTGGCCAAAAACCTGACCAAGCCTATGGTCTTGCTCTTTGCAGAGGAGATGTCTCAACCTCAGACTGCAAAACCTGTGTTGTAGAAGCAAGTAGTGAGATTCGAAAGCGATGTCCATACAACAAAGCAGCTATCATTTGGTATGATAATTGTCTTTTGAAATACTCAGATAAAGAATTCTTTGGTCAAATTGACAACAGAAACAAGTTTTACATGTGGAACGTGAGAGTTGTAAGTAACCCGGTTGAGTTTAATGGAAAAACCAAGGAATTGTTAAGTCAATTGGTTAAAGATGCTTATGTAAGCCCTAAATTGTATGCTACTGGAGAGTTAAAGCTAGAAGAAACATATGATAAGCTTTATGGGTTAACTCAATGCTCTAGAGATCTTTCAAGCTATGACTGTAAAAACTGTCTTGATGGTATAATTGGTGAGCTTCCAAATTGTTGTGATGGGAAAGAAGGTGGAAGAGTTGTTAGTGGGAGTTGTAACTTTAGGTATGAGATTTACCCTTTTGTTAATGCCTAGAAAGAATGTTCATCTTGTGTTCTTAACTTGGGCACAATCCTAAATTCACGTCTTCTCCCACTTTGTAAGCCAAATAATAATAATAATAATAATAAACAAGAAGAGCATTGAGAATGTTTTAAACTTAAAATTATGATAAGAAGTGATTTATAATATACGATTAATTGTATAGGTATATATAATGATTCTGTTCCAACCCTTATTTGTTAAGGAATTTTGCAGGCTCTTGCTTGAAGGGGAAAAAGAAAAGTATGTAAGAAAATGTGAAAATTAGAGTGACTATTTACTCATCCATTTGTAAGATTCTTTATCATTACTTTCTACTTTCTCATATATTAGTCGTTGGATAAAATTTATATGACGTATGATTTCATGAGTTTGTCCCATTAGTCTTTACAATTCAATTAGCTACTCTGACCCTTGATTCACAGGAAAATATTGCTTGATTTGATCTACAAATGAAACATAATTTTGAATTTATTTCAAATATACATGTGTGGATATGAAGGTGGAAATGAGAATAAGTGAGAGCGAGATGGAAGTGGAAATAGAATAGAGATGGGGCAAGGTAATATCACTATAAAAAAATCATGAAATATTTGTCTAAATAGTTATGGACGTAATTCCGTAGCAAATGAGCAACAGATTATCGATACTAGCTATGAAAATTTCATTTTAAATTTTTAAAAACACGATATAATTATGGATATGGATTACTATGACATTTAGCTACGGATTTGAGTTCTGTAGCTAATTAAAGGTGCCAAATATTAGTACCAACAGATTAGCTACAAAACATTTTATGTGGCTAATCCATTGTCATATGTAGCTAAATAACTATAGAATAACTACATATTAATTTTAAAAAAAATTGAAAGTTTACTCAGATGAATGGGTGGTGAATAACAAAATTTAGCTACGAATTAGCGATTGATTAGTGACAGATTATATTAACAAAATATAACTACAGATTAATTATGAACTAGGGGCGAACTTTCAAAAAAGATTTAAATTTTACGCGATATTAATGGGCGATAAAGTGCGAAATTTAATGACTCATTAACGATCAAATAGAGACAAAAACATTATTTGTTGCTAACTTCAGAGATTACACAATTTAGTTTTGTACATATTATAGTTATTTTGCCTCCTTTTGTCTAGTAGTATAGATCTTATCTCTTTTGGAGAAGTGCAAGCTAAAAGCAAGGGCATTTTGATTATCTCAAGTTGACCAGGAAAGGACAAAATCACAGGAAAAGCAAAACGACCAGTCTATAAACCGTGTTCTGTGCATTCGAGAATTAGCAGCTCCTAGCAAGAACCATGGCATGACAAGGCAACTTTATAGGCTTTGGATGACTTATAAGGCTTAGATTGTCATAAGCTAGAATTGAGTGAAATCCTCGCACTGATTCTTGTGATTTAATTCAAAGATGCAAATGGAGTCGTCCAATTCTTTTTATACCCAAAGGTAGGTGCTTATATGTGATATGGACCAACTAAAGAATCAATTATAGGTCGAATGGAGTTAAAGATTCTTTTCGTCAACCCATATCAAAGGGTTTTAAGGACCAAGGGCACTTGTATGCAAGTGTTATGATGCAAGGCCTAAAAATTAAAGTCAATCCAAAATTAAATAAAGCAGTCAATTGAAATCAACTCCTCTATCCCTTGTGGAGTCTGCCATTATGGGCTCCTACTATGTGTTAAGGCCCAAAGTCTCAAGGGAAGATGGAATGGATCAAAGCCCACTCAAAGAATAAGAATCATCACCGAGATAAAATTTGAGACAATTGCATATAACAATTGGACTCTTTGCTGAAAGTCTAACCACTTAACCAAAGTCTGGATAAAGAAGTCAGGTGTAGGTTTTGGAAGGTGTCAAGCACCAAGTCTACTCGGCCATGACGTCCACCTCCATTTTGTTGGTTTATCTTAAATAAGGTTGATTTTAATGTTTAAACTTGATTACTATAAAAAATCCTTCAAAAATATTTTAACTTTGAAAATCAAAAGATTATTTTTCACGTTGATATGACATAATCACAAACATAAAAATAAATTAAACATACAGATAAATAAATAAGGGAGAAGAAAAGAATTACATTCCTAAAGAAATAAAACAAACCTACAACTAATTAATTACAACACCTTTCAAAATAACCTACAGCTAATTAATTAAGTCTCCTTTAAAAATATCGTACAACCAATTAATTACATTTTTAATAAATAACAAATGAATAATTTAATCATCCAATCCTAACCATTCATCTAACGAACATAATAAACATAAATCCTTAATCATTCATCTAATAAATTTATACAATAACCAAATAAATAATAAACTCCTGACAACTTAAATATGATTATAAAAATAAAAGAAAAGTAATAATAATTTAAATAATGATGCAAGTAAAAAGAAAAATAATACAAGTTAAACTAAAAATATCTTAAATCAACTAAGAAAAACATTTAAAATCAAATAAAATTACATAAATTATTTTAAAAAAAATTTTGGAAAGTCAATTTTAAAATGTAATATAACAAACTAAATAAAATGAAAATTAAACTATGAGGACAATCAAAACCATTAATTGGTATGCTACCTCTGATGAACTGGAGCATAGAGACTTGTTACTGGTACATAGACTCTTTACGCATCAGTCTATATCTGATAAAATCAAAACGAGTTTTTAACATTTTTTATGGACAAAAATCACTCAATTAAGCCACAAAACTCCAATTTTTCTTTCATATATATTTTTTGTCATGAATGTTTGACAAATGCTTATATGTACTTAATTATTCAATTTTATTTATATTATTATATTACATTTAATCAATGGTTAACCAACATAGGAGTTAAATGAGAAGTAACCTGTATTGTATTAATGCCAAAAATAGAAAAAGGATCATAATCAGATACACTAGGATCAGAATCAAATACATAATTAGACACATTAGGATCAGATTCAGATATACTAAGATCAATTAAGATTTTATTCTGACAATAGCCTTTACTAGCGTAAATACTTTTACTACTTTCTAAACTATTTTAATTTAAGAATAGACCAAGTAAATACATATGAAAGTTGTGGTTTGGACCATAATTGTCATATATTTTAATTAATTAAAACCAATTCAAAATTGTTGGTCTTGGAAATGGAACATAAATTGATGGGTTCCTTTGACTTAAAAAAGGAATTGATGTAAAACCGGCAGTGTATGCCTATTTCGATTCATTAAATATAAAATATAAGAAAATAAATTTGATATTGTGTTTGAGTAATAGAACGTATGTATACGATAACAATTTTATAGAACTAATTAGTATCCATCAGAAAATTCTCTTTTTTTAGAAGAAAAAATGGTGCAATGAACTAGAAAGAGGGGGCAAAATCAGCCCTTATATCGAACGGATGAGGTAATTCTTCAATCCATATTTGCTCTTCTAATGATGCAGAAAGAGCACGTTTAGCTAAAGAGTGAGCTATTGTGTTACAACTCCTGTTAATAAACGAACATTGAAAGAAAGGAAAAACTTCAGCTAATGCCAGTATCCGTAACATCTTAGTACCTAGCTCAACATAAGGAACTTTCCCATTGCTCACCATGTTGACAACCCAAGGCAGTCAAATTCACAGATAACTTCTGTGAACCCCAGTTCTAATGCCTTGTTGAGGGCAAAAGTCATTGCTTCCGCTTCAGCATTCTCAGGACTAAGTGAAACATTCAATCTGCGAAAGCCAGCGGCCATTACCTCGCCTTTATAATTCCTAGCAATGAACCCTAGTCCACAATAAGCTCCAACCTGGACAGAGGCATCACCGTTGATTTTTATCACATGGCCTGACGGTGCTTTCCACCGCTGAAAAGATTCAAGAGGCGAGTTGTTTGGTTGTGGGCAGTTAGGAGACACATTATCAGCTTCCACTCGATAGCCGAGGAATTCATTAAGAGTTGAAATAGCTAATCGTGAGACCTGCAAAACAGAAAGCCTTTGGTTTTGAAATAATAACAAGTTTCTAGCTTCCCAAAGTGCCCAGGCCACCATAAATACAATAGCCACATGTTCATCACCAAACTCTTGAAACTTTTCCATTAACCAGTATCCGAAAGATGACATAGCCCCACCTAGGATGATTCGAGGTGGACTAAGCTTCCACACAAGACGTGTAAACTAACAGTTCAGGAGGATATGGCTACTGTCCTTGAGATCTTTCCCACACAAGACACAGATAGGATCAACCTCAACATTGTGTTTCTGTAAATTGAATTTAGTCGGAAAGGTGTCATGGCAGGCTCGGTGAATAAAGTGTTTTACTTTTGGTGGAACACACTGCTTCCAAACTAGCTCCGAAAAAGGGGCATTAAAGTTGGATGAGGAGCTGACGTTAAAGTTCTCCATAGTCGAGTTAAGGGCTAGATGATAAGCAGTTTTAACAGAAAAAGAATCGTTCCTAGACACCCACCAGATAAGTCTATCCAAATTGTAATTGTATACTTTCATCAAACCTCACATGTCGACAAATTATAACTTTCTTGGTGGACGATTCATAGCACTTGTACCCTCTATGATTAGAAGGATACCCTAGAAACACACATGGGGTTGATCTTGATTCAAGTTTATGAATCTTATTAGACGTAATAAGAGGAAAGCATAAGCAACCGAAAACCTCCATGATGATACTACGCTACTGATTACATGCAGTGGCTAAGAGGATTAACCTCTACTAAAGGAGCGTATGACTCAGAAGAACCGCACCATTGGGCAACAGAGCCTGCTATCACACATCGTTAGATTAGGATAGGAGGTATTGACATCATTCTCGTATCTGGACGCATAATTGCGAAGCGGTATCCTGAACATATGATCACGTTCATGCTATTGGAACTAGATAAGAGAGCATATGCTGACGAAATAGTCAACGGAAGACACGCAGACGAGGAAGACAGCGAATCATAGGGTCCGCAAGATCAAAGTGAGAGCCAGAGTGACGATCAGAAGGTCGAAACACGGGAGGATTACATGCCTTACTCATTCTATGATTATGGATTGGGATAGTAGGTTTTTGTCAGCAAGGATAGGCGACTGCCAATGGTGCCGGAAGTCGAGAGCCAGAATGAGTTCCCAGACCGCCCGACTTCTCTGAGTGGCTTGTGACAATTATAGCACTCGTATACAGCGTCACCGATGAGTCTGACAGGTGGTGAATACGAATGACGAAGAGACCGCAACTAAGACGATTTTAGGTGGTAAGTAACACAGCTTAATGCCATTTGATGCCAAAAACCTAGATGGAACAGAAGAGTGCAACAAGAGGGTATCGAAACAATATTGTTTATACATTTCATCTGCTGGTTAACTAATCGACTCTGCGATACGTATATAGGCTCGGCCTGAGTTCATGACACAGCTAATGCATGATGCCAAAAACTAGATGGAACAGAAGAGTGCAACAAGAGGGTACGAACCATATTGTTTATTGTTTTTATTTTCCTCTCTGCTTTGCCATTCTGGGACGAGGTATATGGGCAAGAAAAGCGAAAAATAATACCATTTGTTTGGCAAAAATCATGAAACGACTGATTATTATATTCCCTACCATTGTCACATTGAAGAGTTTTGACGTGTGTGTTAAATTAAGTCTTAACAAAATTGTAGAAAAGCCGAAAGACTTTAAGTGGGAATGTCCACAAGAAATTTGTAAAATTATCAAGAAATAACACATAATAACGATGCCTGAAGAACTCAAAATAGGAGATGTCCAAACATCACTGTGAATTAAATCAAATGGCATACGAGTAACAATATGAGACTCATAAAATGGAAGTTTAACAGCGCTATAAAATGGAAAGTTTAACAGAATTTGGCCAAGTTGACAGATTTTCTATCAAGCTCAGTATAAGACATGGTGTGTTGTGACTAGATCTATGTGCAGGAGATGTCCAAACATCACTGTGAATTAAATCAAATGGCATACGAGTAACAATATGAGACTCATAAAATGGAAGTTTAACAGATTTGCCAAGTTGACAAGAATTACAAAAAGAAATGTTGTCTTTATTGCAAGATATAAAATTATTGTCCCTAAGCGACTTGATGACATCTATCTCCGGATGACCCAAACGATTATGCCACCGATCCAAACATAGATGGAGCAGAAAACATAGAAAGATAGGCGGAATTTGTGATTGGATAGAGGTCCCCTATGCTAACACATCTCAGAAGACTGGTCCCCGTCGGATAGTCCTTCACAGTAAACCCAAAAGGATCAAATTCAATAGAGGTCATGTTATCAACAGTAAATTTCCTAATGGAAACAAGATTTTTAATTAATTTAGGAGCATGTAGAACATGATTAAGATGCAAAGGTGGGTTAGTATGGGGTAAAACAACATGACCATAACCCTGAATTGGAATTGTGCTACCATTACCAACAAGTATACCATTACTTCGGCTTAATTGAGAATAAGAAGTGAGAGTAACCAGACGTTTTGTCCGTTGGTGTTGAACTGGGTTCCCTGAGAGATATACAGCACTAACGTTATCACAATAAACAAGGTTGTTTTTTGTATTGGACAATGCAATTCCAGGAGAAGATTCCGAAGCCAATAAGATTCAGACACTACATTGGCAACTCCCCGATATTCAGCTTCAGCACTAGACTTGGAAATTGTGGGCTGCCATTTGGAACTCCATGAAATTATATTAGAACCCAAAAAGACACAGTAACCAGATGTTGAACGACGAGTATCAGGACAGCCTCCCCAGTCCGCATCCGTATAAGAGACAAGAGAATGTTCAGGGGACTTGGACAAAGATAAACCATAATGTATTGTCCCTTTAATGTAACGTAGGATTCTTTTCAAGGCATTCATGTGTTGTGGACAAAGATAAACCATAATGTATTGTCCCTTTAATGTAACGTAGGATTCTTTTCAAGGCATTCATGTGTTGTTCAGTTAGTGAATGCATAAAAAGACATACCTACTGGACAGCATAACAGATATCAGGCCTGGTAAAGGTGAGATACTGAAGAGCACCAGCTAATTGCCTGTATTTTTGAGGATCTAAACATAGTGGGCCTGGTTGAGCACTCATCTTGCCCGCAGTATCAACAAGTGTAAGACTTGGTTTACATTTTGTCATTCTCGCATGCTCTAAAATTTCCGAAGCATACTTGTGTTGCGTCAAAAATAATCCAGATGGAGTCCTCCGAACAGCAATACCAAGAAAATAATTCAAAGGACCCAAGTATTTCATGGCAAACTTTGTACTCAAACGGACAATGATATTTTTGTGGAGATCATCAGATGAAGTTGTCAAAATGATGTCATCAACATATAGCAAAAGATAAGCAGTATTAGAACCAGAACTGTATATAAATAGAGAATGATCCATTTGGCTATGAATAAAACCGATGGAGGCAACATAATCTATGAAACGTTGATACCATTCTCGCGGCGCCTGTTTTAAACCATACAGGGATTTTCGCAGTAAGCAAACATGAGTAGGCCGAGAGGGGTCTTTGAATCCCAAAGGTTGATGCATATAGACTATTTCAGTAAGATTACCATGCAAGAAAGCATTTTTGACGTCCAATTGATGAATGGACCAAGATTTGGAAACAGCAAGACTGAGAACTGTTTGGATTATTGCTGGTTTAACAACTGGACTGAATGTCTCATCACAGTCAATGCCTGCCCGCTGTGACCTGCCATCACCTACAAGACGGGCTTTATACCTCTCAAAAGAACCATCAGAATGCCTTTTATGTTTAAAAATCCACATAGAGCGAATGATATTCACATTAGCAGGACGAGGTACTGAATCCCACGTCTTATTCTTAATTAAAGCCTCATATTCATCAAGCATAGCATTTTTCCAATTTGAGTCTTTTAATGCGGATAGAGGACTTGCGGGTAATGGGGAAACGTGTGGTGTAGTGACAAGAAAGGACTGATTGTATTTTGGATTTGGTTTAAAAATTCCAGATTAACTTCTGGTGGTCATGCGAGACGGAGTGGCTGGTTGGGAAATATTTGGAGCATGGGCAGACAAGTTTGGCTGGTGTGGTGAACTTGGTGCGGCTGGTTTAGGAGACGATAAGACTTCGGCAGGAGATAAGACCTCGGCAGGAGATAAGGGAGTAGAATGGAGACGATACAAGGTTAAAGGTGAACCTGAATCATCAAAGAAATCATAGGCAGTGGGCGATTGTAAAGAAACATTAGAGAAAGGAAATATACTTTCATCAAACCTCACATGTCGACAAATTATAACTTTCTTGGTGGACGACGCCTTGTTTTGAATCACTGTAACGAATCCATCATAAGCATCTATGAGACCATTGAGAAGACGTAAAACCATGCGTTGATCTGAGACTTTGGAGCCAACATTGGCCAGCTGGTCTGCTAGGACTTTGAGGCGTCTGGTATAAGCCTTTGCATCGGGAAAATCACGTAAATTAGTGGTCGTGAATTCCGTTTCAAGGTGGAGAGCTCGTGATGTTTTATTATCTTGAAATAATTCTTCCAATTGAGTCCAAGCATCTAATGCCATGTCTGTGAGTCCAAGCATCTAATGCCATGTCTGTGGGATTAATTATCGTTTTCAAAAGATCAGAAGAGATGGTTCCATAAATCCATTGATGGACAATATTATCAATTCGATCCCATTGAGCTTGATCGGCAGGTGTTTTGTGTGTTTCTGAATCTGATTTGGGAGAAATATGATGATGGGTTGAGGTTGCTTTGGCGTGAATGATAAAGAGGGTAGCCCAATTAGTATATTAAGCCGAATCATAATCAAGAATGATTGGGATATGAGTTTTGATGTTGGTAATGGTGGTTGCAGGATGAATTTTCTCAGCCATTGGTGAATAGAAGAGATAGCCGAAGAGAAGAAACGAGAGAAATAGGGTTCAGTTTTATGACGGTGCTCTAATACCATGTAATTATATTCCGTGAGTAATCTAGTACAAAGAGTTGCTATATATATATATATAGCTATATATATATATATATACAAGGCTAGCTAGGGCATCATACAAGGAAACTAATTATGTACAAGATGTATTACACTAACACAAATTTCTA